GAGTGGGCCGCTGTTCCTTCCCCTCAATTATTAGCCTTTTCCTTTCGCCTGCAAGGTCTTTACGACCCATACTGCCTTTTGCTTTGCTATGGGCAATAACCCCGAAAAGCGGCCCGGTTGCTGACAGCCTCGTCGATGGGCAAAAGTTGTTTGGCTTTCGAGCAGTCCGCCCTGAAAATCCGGCGTGACTGTGTTCGGCGCACACTAACAGCAAATTCCGGCACCGCTTGTGTGTGTGTGTGTCGCTTTGGAGTCGTGTACGGACTTGGTTATTGTTGTTTTTGTGCTGTTTGGTTTCGAAAGTGTGTCTTCGTGTTACAGGTGGTGTACCAGAGTGCAGTGCAGCTTGCATACGCCGACCAGTTGCTCTCAGATGTGCACAAAAAGTTCCGGGACATGTACAAGAATGTCTTCTCGGACAATAAACTCTTCTTTTCCTGTACAAATCGCACGTTCCAGCAGTTTGATGAGATCTTTCAAAAGTAGGCGCTTTGCTCTCTGCCTTGTACATAGGGCACCTGCACGCTCTATTAGCAGCAAATGCGGTGCTTGTTTCCTCTCAGATTTGCAGCGCTGGCCAGCTTGCCCGGTGGCCGCTTTCCTTCTCGTGCTAGCTGCTTGCAGTGCCCAGTTGCCCTATGAAAGTTTCTGTGGTAAAAATGTATAGCGCAGTATTCGTAGCTGTGCAGGATGCGCAAAAAACAGTCATTTTCTTTTTCCGTTTTCTTGCATTTTGAACAGCAAATTTTTCTAGCCTGTATCGCGATGCCCAGTTGCAGTCTATCAGCCAATCCGAAAAAGTGATGCGAAAATTTCAGGTTTGCCAACATTGCAAAATTTTTGTGATCTAGTTGCTGAGTGCTGAACCAAAATGGACCCACCCCACATCGTAGTTGGTACCTTATCTCTTCCGAGTATGTACCTATCTCACAGAAAACGGGATTTGTGGCATAAAACTGATATTGGGGACGAAAGCAGCTTCATATGGATCGTAGAGAGAGCAGTGCGCGGGGATTGTTTGATCAGAGCGGAAACGAGAACGATGCAGTTTTTTTTTTTTCTAAGATGCCTTTTTTTTGGAGGAGAGCGAAAAGTCCAAGAAAACGGTGGCATCGATGGTGGAGCGCCCGTCTGAACGGACAGCAAAATTGCTTAAGGAGAAGAACGAGCAGCAGGAGCCGGCGACGAAACAGAGAGGGCCGGAAAAAGGTGCGCTAGCAGTAGCCAGGGAAAATGAGACACCGCTAACGAATGGCTACAGGTTGGTGGCTCATTTTAGCTTATTGCAAATTATTATCACGCCACTCTTGTGAAGCTGGCACTCCAATGGTCCCCTTCATAAATGCTGGGAAGAATGTTTTACGGCAAAATTTCGCCATTCTCATCGCTTGTGTTCAAAATGCCCCGATCGTTATTGTCCGCATTGCTGATTGTTATTATTGTCCTTCGTCACTGCTGGTAATTTTCATTGTTATAATCGTAGTCGCAGCCAGCGCCAAGGGAAATCCGTGCAGGTGAAAAAAACTAAGTGAATGACGAAGGCATCAGTTTGGTGTGACGCTCGAGAATTAGCCCGTTGAGTTTTTTGGAGAGCTATGTCCAGCAGACGTCAAAAAGTACATTTTGAGCTGAGAGGCAGAGAAACATCGAGACGGACAGTACGAGCACAGCATGGGCTGGAATAGTTCCTTTTCTTCTGATGTACAGAAGTGAAGCATGCAGCACTACTGCCATTGTGTGGGGAATATTGACGGTGATCCAGCGGGACTATGGAGAGGGGATCTCGCTTTTTCGGGACTCTGTTCCTCCCAGAAACGCAGCTGAGGTTCTCTTACTCGTGTCGCGGAAATTCAACGAAAAGCTAGCCAAGAAGTCGCTACAAAGAAGAGAAGTATGTCTTGTCTTGAAAGGCACAGAGTTGCAGCACGTCTTCAGTGAAGTATTGCAGTTTTGGTCTGGTGAGAGAAGTTATGTCGAGGTGATTTCCATCAGGAAGAGTCGGCTAGCCGTGTGGCAAAAATGAGAGATGACAGATGGACGGAGCTGGTTGTTGGGTCAGCGTTAAACCGGCAAAGAAGGCGGCCGACGAGATGGAAGGACTCGGTGGATTGGCTGTGCGAAATGCTATGGATGAGAGCGGCCCAAAACAGAGGAGAGTGAAGAAGCTGTTGGTTGCAGTAGGATGAAACACGACGATAGATCAACAATTATTTTAAGTGTTAAAATATTTCAGTCGATGTAGCCCAAGAAGATACACGTTACATTGCTTTTTATGTGTTTTGTGCTGAAACAGTTGCGAAAAACACATATTGTCACGCCTGTTTGTGTGTGTGTGTCCTCGATACGTTTTGTTCTGCTCTTTCAGCTCAAAATTAGTAAAGCCAGGGAGCTGAAATTTTAGAGGGATTTTCTCTGCTCACATGCGATCTCGCAGACATAAATTCAGCTTTCACATACGTTTGGGTCTCACGTACGGCCGATGGAAATTGTGGCATAAGAAATTGGCTCGGGAATCACAAAAGTTAGAAAGTCGAACTTTTAGG